TTTGTAGAAAATTCCGCTATAAATGTGATTTAGACGGAGGTTGGCTTGCATTGAAAGTCACATCTTTCCTGTGACCCACTGACACTCACAGATGCCTGGCGAAGTAATACCCCTAGTCACGATGCACACGGACCAGGTTCAAATCCAGTTGAAAATGATGATAAGATCGGACGATGTTAGAACTGCAGTCCATTCTGAGTGGGGAAATCTTTTGAGGCAGGGCTAAGTGAAATTCCATGGCATCGTGAAGTGCACCAATATCATTATGGGAAAGTCCAAATATCAATTATCTATTTCTATATGCAACCCAAAGTGACCATAGCTCTTATTAAAAATCTAACGAGTTTGGAAAGCCATCAATGGTGAATAATGTTTAACTTAGCCGATTTGCCGTAAAAGACTATTATATTAACATGAATAGAATTGATAAAATCACATCTTTCAAGTAAAGATGGTTATGCAAAGAATACATGAGAATGTATACGATGACTATTTAAATATTAATATAAGCATGCAGAAAAAAGTACTTTTACCTTACCCTCATAATCCGTTTACAATATTGGTCATTAGAGAGTCCAAGCATCGCGTGGGTGTAAACATCAGGTTGGCTAGTTACAATAGCTGCGATCAATTGCCGAGATTGAGAGGTAGCTTCAGGATCGGAAGGAATAGTGTACGAAGAAGTGGTAGGATTAAAAGGAAGCTTTATTCCACATTGTGCATTGGATAGACAAAAGTGAACACTAGTGAAAAGACAAGAATTGTCAGAAGGAGCTACAACGCGAACAAAACCTTCGAAGTCAATTGTAGGACCGGAATGACACAGATTATCATCTCTATTGGTTAAGCTTTCAAAGGAATTTTGAGTTGGTTGTTGTTTGGCATTTAAGGAAGGTGAGGCAGATTTACTCAGCTCATCCACAACCAATGTGTCGCCGGATAGTATCGGGATCTGCAGGGAAAAAAGTAAACTTGTCACACTATCGGATGACATTAAATAATATAAGCATATTTTTCAAAGGATGATATGAGGAGCTAAACGCAATTAAAAGTTACCTGGTAAAGCCGCAGCTCAAGCTTATCTGATGAAAGATCGATTGGTTTTGGAGGATAACCATGAAACAGGGACAAAATCCGTCGATCTACACCTGTTGACTTGCTAATCTCGCTTAATAATTCATTTAAAGTAGCTAAGTCAGTCAATGCTTGGAGCAAAATGTTTCCAGCTTTGTATTTGCAGCGAAGGCGTAGAACACGACCAGTCCCATGAGTTACTCCGGAAGAAGCGCCCTCTTTTTCTAAAACATTTGCATCCTCCACCTTAAACAAAAAACTAAAGTTAGTGGCAACTTAATCCCTGTAAAATAATAAAAGAAACTTTGCTAAGATAAGAGTTTGGTGAAAATGCGGGTTATCAGCATGTGAAGATATAGACCGAAGCTAGAGCAACAACATATGAAGAGGCTAGGGCTTAATAAATATATGAAAAAAAATTAGCAACAGTTAAAATACATTCGTGTAGACCTTTAGTAGACTATCAAACGTTAACTAGGAGAAATATCTGAAAAGAGTCGATAAAGACTTATGTAAAATTACATCAAAGGGCATAACACAATATTAGCTCTGAAGCACCGTCAGCTTAATCTCTTTCGCAATAAAAAGATAATCACAAGATGATTT